GTAGAGGCGCAAGACGTAGAAGCGCAAGACGTAGAAGATAAGGAAATGAGAAGGGCGATACCAAGAGTGCATAAACAAGCGTATGCAACTGTGGTTATGGGTCAGTGCGCGGCGCGCTGCCTTCATTACGTAACTTGCCTTCATCACGCTAGCTAGTACGCTCTGAAAGCATGCATCCAAACTCTCAATTTCTCGCACGAGCCCATCCGTTTTTGCTCGATTCGTTCCAGTACCTACAAAATCTCTGAATTCTGGCGCGTGAACTCCAGTTCCGTACGAAAGTTCATTTCAAACTGGAGGGAAAGTGCGGTGTTTGATTTTCCGCAGTGCGCGGACTGCAGCTGAATGATGTAATGAAGGCAGCGCGCCGCGCATCTGGCCCATAGAAAAGAGATCACAGTTGCATACTCTTGTTTATGGACTCTTGGCGATACTGGTTAGCACGGAAGAGGTCAACGGCGAGACTGTGTGGAACACAGAGATCGGATGTGTGTCCTCGGGTTCCGCGCCCGCCCCGGGTCGAAGCAGTGTACCGGTGACCGTGTCGTGTGTGACAGCCCACATCGGCGAGCTTGGTGAAATTATCGGTTGTGTGTTGTCTGGTCCAGTGTCCGCCCCATGTCGAAGTGGATCGGTGACAGTGTCGTGTGCGACAGCCCGCAGCGGCAAGCTTCGCGAAATCGAGTTGGCCGAAGTGGTGAGCAGTAGTTCCACCTTGGCCACCGCCACCGCAGGGGATGACTCGTTCTGGGCGTGTAGTCAGAGCCCCGGTCGTTTTTGACTTGTGAGTTGTTGTACGGCGGTGAGAATCCCTTTGGTGGGGAGAATGTTGCGAAACCACAAGCTCTCGAGAGTGAAAGGCCTTCTCGCTTGTGACATTGTGTTCGTTCCAATGCAGTTGTATCCCGACTCCGCCGTACCGCTGATGTTTACGACGTGGCATACGCTACAGGCGCTATGTGCGGTTTTGCTGTGTGCGCTGTTGTTGTATGTGTATGCTTTTCTCATATACGCTGTCATTTTCACGCTATAACTACCTGGTGGTTTTAGTGTTAGTTATTCATTATTCCTGTATTGAGTAACTGAGTTTTATGTTTCGTTACATTGTCGACAGATCTCCTGTGTACCGGTTTTGTGGCACAATGATTATAGCCATTTGTCGTCTCCATTCTTGTGCAATCATGCATATGTAGGTTGGTTCTCTTCATGTTCATGTTATTGTGACCTATTTCATAGATGTTGGTTGCCTTGTTGTTTTCTTTCCCCTCTCCTCTCACCCAAGCCATTCTGCATAAGCGAAGCTGTGGACGCAGCATACTGCTGCTACACTTCAATGCGGAAATGCGTATAATAACGAGAGAGCTTGGAAGCTCAGGGCCCTACGCTATGCTTTTATGCTTTTTTGCCTAGCTCATCGTACATGTTATAAGAACTGATGGAAATGTCTTTTTCCGTTGATTGGCCACATCACTGTATTGCAAAAACGTTTCAATCGGTTTGAACATTATGAGTTAGGCAAAAGTATTTGCAGAATTTATTGTGGATTGTTATTTCTCTAATAATCATCTACTTTTGGTTTGCTCCTTCTTTTCTTTTTATCTCCTTATACTGTAAATCAACAAATTTTGGCCGATGAGAAATAGAAACCTCTCTAAGAGAGGTTAAGATGCACGTTATTTCCGACGTGACGCGCAATTTCACGTCAAATTTGAAATCGATTGGTATTTTTGCTCTCACATGCATCCATTGCTCAATCATGCATCATTTGCCTATATGACGAACTTTGGCCTGCGATTTACTTTGGCCGGTTGGTACCAAGCGGCGAAATCAGCGAAATTAAATCGCCAGCGAAAATTCGTTGATTTTAATACAGTAATCGGATTTTCTGGCCTTTTTGTAGTAATACATGTACATTGACCTGTTGAGCCAATGACGACGCCGAATGCATGGTTGCCTGTGGAGCACATTACATAACTTTACAGTCTCCAAAAATACGTAACCTGTCCGACGGCAAAAGAGGCTGCAGATTTAGTTTTTCTGCGCGTCGACGGGATGTCTGCGACGCGAAAGTTCAGTTCGTGTTATTTGGCTCGCACGTCGAAAAATCAACGCGAGTGACCTGCTGCTCACGTCAAAATTTGGACATTACATACCGGTAACTTTACAGTCTCCTAAAATACGTATCCTGTTCGACGGCAAAAGAGGCTGCAGATTTAGTTTTTTCTGCGCGTCGACGGGATGTCTGTCCTGACGTTTTCTGGGACCGGCGCTGACTCTGCCGATCACGGGCGTTCTGGACTCGACGGGATGTCTGTCCTGACGTTTCCTGGGACCGGCTTAGACTCTGCCGATCACGGGCGTTCTAGACTCAACGGGATGTCTGTCCTGACGTTGCCTGGGACCGGCGGACTCTGCCGATCACGGGCGTTCTGGAGTCGACGGGATCTCTCTTCCGACGTTTCCTGTGACCGGCGCTGAATCGCTCGTTCACGCTTATTTTGGAGACGACGGGATCTCTCTTCCAAAGTATGATTATGCTGACGCATCCTATCACCTATTCGGCGTCTATTCTAATTTAATTTCCTCCTCGTCTCCCTATTTCTTTCCAAGTCTCCCTCTACATCAGGGAGTCGCATACATAATACGACAAATATTGGTACGGTACGGGACAGATACAGGAGCCCGCAAATATTGTGGACAGCTGTTATGTACAATCCTGTAGAGCCTTTGTAGTCACAGATACGGGACAGATACGGGACAGATACAAGATAGCTCCAGCCGTGACACAAACAAACAAACAAACAAACAAACAAACACCAAATTAAAGCTGTGTGGACCCTGGCTAGCGCCAGACGTTACTGAAGTAACGTCTTCTGCATAGCTACGGGAATAATATTCATTATTCATTATTGTTAGGCGATCGAAGTCAATATACTGTGGAGAATAAATAGTTGTCCTCGTGCCGTGTGGTCGTTCGTTCCTGACACTTTAGAGAACCAGAGGGTTCACAACAGCTAGTGACTGTCCTTGTCCGTGCCTTTTCTTCGCTTCCTTCCACCTCTATACTTCTTCAACAACGTTTGTTTTTACAAAGCGAAAAGTTTTAGTATTTTTCAGCCCCCACCCACCCACCCACCTTTTCTGCAGGTAAAACGAATTCCAATAAAACATTGATGTCAATTTTCGACACCCAGAAGTAATTGGGCATTCTCCATCTGCATTCAATAATTATTTTCAAAACGAAACTCCATTAAACCCACCCACCCACCCCCAAACGAAAACTTTTCGTTTTGAAAATATTATTGGTAACCTTGGACTAAGGTGGACTGGCATTTGCTGAGTTTGAAAGTAACTTCATCATTTCCAAGGCTCATGTGTGTTATGGGTCGTTATACGTCATAATAACTATGGGACTAGCATAATTATGTAGACACACCACATGTGCCTGTTTGTGCTGCGACTTAAAATAAAATCCAGCAACAACAACAGCGGCATGCTATAGGAATCCTGGATCATGGGGTGTTCTATAAATTTGAGGACATCTCCAGGACTGGTGCAAAGACGTGGCGGCACACAGCAGCAGCAGCAACATGCTCTGCAGATCACAGCCATGGGCCGCATAGATCTATCGGCGAAGAACGGTCAGTCGAGTCATTATGACAAGTGAACCTCCCCGTCCCCTATGTGCCTCCCAACGAATCCACGCTGCGCTACTTTTCACTACTTTTATTTTAGCTCATACAAAGATATTATTATTTAAAAAGGGGAAAAAAATGTTCATGGTCGCGTTAGACACAGCTAGAAGGCAAGTTTTCAGCATCTGTAGGAACGCCACCACCCTTCAAGGATCAGTATGGCCTAAAATCAATTTTTCACCAATAATTATTGTAGTCTTGCTTGAACTTTTGAAGGTGTTTCAGTTCGTGTATTTATCGATTTTTGATCTTGGTCATTATCTAAGGGCGCGTTCGAATTGTCACTCTTTGACTTTTCGAGGAGTTTCGTTTTTCTGAAGAGGTGGCCTTATTGGCCTCTTCAGAAATTCAAAGCTCCTCGACACTCCACAACCTCATCCGATGGGAGAGGTGGATTAGTTTCGAAGGGTTTGGAATAGCTACATCACGTCGCACGTGGAGATGGTCGATCTGATCGGACGTCATCATCGCCATGACAATTCCACTGAAAACTTGACTCTAAAAATGATAGAAACCGTTCTAATGGGACACCTCAACTAATCTCTTTATAAAATTTGTTTGAACGATGAAGACAATTCGAACGCGCCCTAAAGACGGGAGGGTTTCTGGATCAAGCTGTCATAGTGAGTGCATTCGACTATGCATTTGAATCGATTCATGAATTCACATCACCCCATGTGAATGGATTCATGAATCGATTCAAGTGCATAATCGAACGCAGCCACTGGGTGAATGAGGTCCACCTAGGGATAAAAGCCTGGAGGAGCCAACTAATAATTACTTTGAGCGAAATCGTGCGTGCACTTGACTGCTCCGGATTACTCGCAGGTAGGCGCTACAGACAGCACAGTAAAAGGTGCACGCGCACGCAGCACTAGGGGATCGCGTTCGCCATAAGGGTCAAGTAAAACGCTGTATGGCAGGTTCCTCGGACCAAGGCCATTCGTGTATCGATTCAGCATACTGAATACTACATATCCTGAGAGTTTTACCTTCGTCCGTCCTTCTAATAAAGAACGAAGTGATGCTTTCAGTGAAATTTTTTACACAAATCCCTATTTTTAGTAGGGCGCACGCATCCAATGTTGGAAGCAGGGAGTAGTAAAATACTACTCCCAAAATACTACTCCCTGGTTGGAAGTGTGCAAGTTTGATTGGGAATCCGAATAGGACGAAGGGAGCATCTCGGGTGAACTCCATTTTGACTCAGTGCTCAGAACCCTACAAGCAGCGAAATTTTAGGCCACGCTTCGCCTTTCGGAGAAGACGAAAAAGAAAAGAAAGGAACGCTCAACATCGACTTACCGCTTGAAGACATAGAGCGGAACCGTAGTCCCCACTCGGGTGTTGTTTCGGACGACCTCGATGCATTCCTAGATCATCCAGCTGAGACAAACTTTCGATTAGGGCTTATAAGTAATAGTTATAGGAGATTCTTCAAAACCTTGACACAGTGACAGTGACTCAAAACCAAACGTGCTTGGCGGTTGAAACTACTGAAACTGGAGATCTACAGGAAGAAAGAGTTCATTCTGGAGAGCCACAAGCCTGAGCTGTGGGGCCGGGGAATCCTTAACCCTCTCAGTGCCACGGGCGACTTTAGTCGCCCAAAATGAGTATGTGTGTACAAATAAATTCGTATCTCCACTTCTACACACAGGAGAGTTACAAACGACCACTCTACGTGTTCAGGAAGACCTTGGCTATCGACTCATCACATCGTTTTGTGTCCGTGAGGATAGATATCGCCAGGGTGAAGCTTGAAGCGCGCGCGCTCGGACAAACAATTGTCGCCCGTAGAAAACATGACGTATGCGCATCGCGGGTTTCTCTATTTCTTTCGCGGCAACCCATGCGTATTGGGTATCAAAACATCGAGATTTTCAGCGGCTTTCAGGCCAACTTTGTCCGAATTCCGTGCGTTGAAAGTTGACTGCACTGCGATCGATCGCGCGCGTGAGAAAGTGCAGATGCTACGAAAATGCAGAAAACGGACTTCGCTCAGGCGCCCTCGCGAGGAAGACTATTTTCGCTGCGTATATCTCTTCACAGCTGTCTGCCTGGCCATGATATCTTTCCAGAGAGCCATCGTTTGTAAAGATCCGTGGATATACAGCTGAGCTATGAAAAATTTGAGTTCAGCTCAACTCAGAAAAATTTGAATTTTTCCGACCCCCTTGGCACTGAAAGGGTTAAATTAAAATTACAAAATTACAATAATTACATTATGTTGTAGCATCAAGAGTACATAAGGTTATGTACTCTTAGTAGCTCTTGGTAGCATGCTAGCAGCAGTCTGCTTGGCCACGTGGCTACGCATGGTATCAAAATAATAACCCATACATGAACCCATTTTGGTCATGTACGCTTGGTCTATCCGAGGTGCCGCATGGCCCATGCCCAATTGCCCATGCATGGTACGGTAGGGACTAGGGGCCGTTTTCAGCATATGGTAGAGGAGACGGCTCGATACCGGAACGTTTTGACAGCCAAATTTGTATAGACCCAAAACGATCATCAACGTTGATTTTTCACTCGAAATATGTTTGTGGAAGGAAACTGGCATGTTGAAGTTTGCTCTGGGGCCAGAGTCAATCGAACTGAGCCACTCCTTTGTGTTGACCCATTGCCTCCAAGTTGCCCAATTTTTCGCTTCAAAAAAGTTCAAATCAGAGGTGGCTCCAAACCGGACACGTTTTAGAGTGCCCGTCAAATTCACTCTGGGTCTGAAATTAGGTAATTGCTATCGCTCCACGACGGCCAGTACAGAGTAACAATAAGCCTTGTGTGTGCTTCCATTAGTTTTGATTGGTATGCGGTGCTTTATTGTCGAGAGGCGAGCCGCTGTTTACCTGCGACAAGAAGTTGATTTTTCGAAAGTCGTAAAACTCAAGTCGCAGTGCGAAGCAACACGTCAAAAACTCACCTGCTTGATATGGCGCTTCTGGTCATCGCAGAGCCATGAAATTTTGGCTCGGAGTATAACACATCGTAGTCTCACTGTGACATATGTTTTCTAATCAAAATACCAAGAGAGAAAGTGAATATTGAGTCCGTTCCGGTTTGCAACCTATTTCCTATTTGAAACCGTCGCCTCTACCATGGTACGACTATTTATAGCTGTGTTTAGCGCTGCTGCCACGTGTTACGTGTACATGGTGTAGGCCTTTGACTTTTGTAGCATTTTTCTTTTCTTGAATCTTGTTCTTTCCGCACACACCACGCAGACACCCTTCAATCCGTTGCAAAGTACGGAAACTCTACGTCCACTGCATGGTGATATTAAACGGCAAATTCTGGTGCTGTTCTCGTCTGAGATTGTGGAATTGAGCGGAAGCGTTCACACAAATAATTATAGTACCAGTGAACAGTCGGCACTACTGGGAGTATTGCGTCACCGTCCGCCGACTCTATGTCTTCTCAGCAGCCATTTTCCACGATCAAGATGTTGGAAATGGGCCGAAATGAGCCGGCTATATTGGGTCATGTGTGAAAATAGGTTGCTCCATGTTAGGACAAACCTGAAATGGGCGCCGCTATTTTAGGGCAAGGGTGAAATCATGTGGGGCGCGCTGAACTAGGAGTGCTGAAATGACGGTCGTCGTGATATTGGTGGCGCTGATTTGGGTGACACTCCGTGGCCTATACCGGTATATGGGAGCGCTGTTTGAAGTTTTGCGCAAACCACACGGCCGCGGCCATGATGGCATGATGTCCAATATGGCAATACAAAAATAATTAATAAGAAGATGAAATGCGCCGCGGCTAGAAAAACTTGAGCACGTGACGAGCTGTACGAGGTGAATTGCAATTTCTGGACATGAAAATAAAATAGAGCTCCACTGGCTGTGTGTTTTACATTTTTCATAATCTTTTTGTATCTATTGTATGGCCTAATCCTTCATCTTTCCAAATATGTGACAATTGCTCATGCTGTGATCCCAGAAATTTTATAGCAGGACGTTTTCGACAGGCCAATTTTTGGCCTAAATTTCAGTGTATGGAATTCTGGACATGAAAGTAAAATAGCGTCAAAAGGCATCCTATACTGCACCATTTTTGTTATGTTTGCTATTGCTATTGGTGGACTGCAGTTGGCCTCTTCACACTTCCAGCCAACAGGTCCAAGAATACAGCGTCTGAAGTGGAGTGCACATGATTCGTCCATTACTTCTTATTTTACTCAAAATTATCATGCGACATAGTACCACAAAACTCGTTGAAATGCCTCACAAGCAAAGGCTATCAACAAGGCACCGACACGAGGAGAAACTACAACAACCCAGCTGTCAACTACGGCAAGAAAAAACTTCATCAAATCGACTGACTTGACTCTACACGCGACGAAAAATTATTTTACTCGAAATATCCAGAAATGTACAATGTCCAGAAATAGCAATTCACCTCGTACTCGAGAAAATGAGATACACGTACCGGTACTCGCATCTGCTGGCCCTTGGCGGATTATGCTCGGTATTTGGGATAAAACTGCTGCATTATGCTTTCCATTTAAATATGCCCAAATAATAATTATGCCAGTGATTATGCTAACAACGTTACGTTACAACGGGCGCTTTCGATTACACGTTTATGGAACTGTTTTTTTAAATTCTGGAATGACCTGAATATAATGAGCGGATTCCGGCCTTGTAAAACCATGGTAAACAAACGACTGGAATTCACAACGCATTTTATTCATGTCATGTCACACAACTGACAAACCAAACAAAAATTATAGATGAATCGTAAAAAGCGATCACGTACACCCTCGCGCGCACTTGGACCCATCGCGCACACGCCGGCCAGGGAGGCTCTTCGCGCGCTTGAGTCATGACCAGACCGGTAACACACCGACTGTGCAATTATTTTGGCGCCAGATTTAGAGAAATTCCGCCCTCTCTTCAGAATTGACGGATTCGACGGAATTGGATAAAATCAATTCTAACGACGGAATTTGTCACTTTTTGTGTAATCGAACTGTGCATCAACAATAACTTACCGTATTACTGTAAATCAACACATTTTGGGCGGTGAGAAACTTTGGCCGATCTCGAAATGAAACTTTTGGCCGTCATTTAACTTTGGCCGATTGGGGTTTTCAAAAAAGTAATCGATTGGTATTTGTTGCCCTCACATGCAGGCATGGCTCAATAATGCCGCTCAAGTTCTTCCTTGCATACCTTCCGTAATTCTGTTCTTCATTTTTTAGGGTACCCTGTCAAAAGGCCTTAGGCCTGTGGGGATTGCCCTATCAAAAATTTAATAATAATAATAATAATAATAATGCATTATTTGCCTCTATGACAAATTTTGGCCTGCGATTTACTTTGGCCGGTTAATAATAATAATATCTTTATTAGGATGACCCAGAGGCTTGTCGCCTATCAAGGTTGGTACCCAGCGGCGAAATCAGCGAAATTAAATCGCCAGCGAAAGTTAGTTGATTTACAGTATCTCTAATATAAGCACAGTCTCCAATAATAGCACGTCTCCAATAATAGAACACCTTGGGGCGGCATTAGGCCTTGACGGATTATGCTAATATTTTCGTGAAATTATGCTTTTCGCATTGCTGAAAAAATTGCAGAATTATGCTACTTTTATGCTAAACGTTATCATATTATGCCGCATTATGCTCACATATGCTGCTAATATTATGATGATTCTGTGCAAAATAACAGGGAATTTTTTGTAGAGGGCGTTGTACTGTACATGGATATGTAGTAGCAAATGTTCAACGGGGTCAACCAGGGAGTCGTCAAATACCGGGAGTGGAAACGAGATGCGCGAGCGTGATCCATGCTCGCCTCGGATCGGGCCGGCCTCGCGCTGGAGCACGCCGATTTTTTTCAAATAATCTTTTTTGTGCCACATTCACCAATTCCGCGGGATTTTCAAAATGTCAAAATTTATTTTGGTTCTTCCTGCAAGCGGAGCAGTTTAGACGTCTCGACCATACATAAGCCTTCTCGTCAGATTTCCGCTTCCCTTTTGTAGTATCACTCTTCGTCGTGGATTCGTCGGCAGTGCATGGTCATGCTGGACAGGGAGATATCGGTAGCCATTTTACGGCTGATGTTTTAGGAACTTGGGCGAGAGGTGAGTAAAAACCAAGCTTTATCGAGTGAATACTTCTATCACTGAATAGCTTTGTTTTGGTTTGTTACACATGCATGCTGCATGTACAGAGCATTCGATTTATCAACCTGCAGTCAAGTACAGACCCAGGGAAGCTTCTCTTTTACTTGCCCAATGATCGTGCATAAAATTTTATGTGAAACTCGTAAAATGAAATGCAATGGTAGATTTAAGAAACTATGTGATGGTCAGGAATCAGGATACACATGGCATTCTCTACCTGGATGAATACTTGTGACAATTTTAATATAGAAATACTGCGCTGTTTTCCGTGTGCGTTTTGTCCAGACCTGGAGACCACATCAGCTGTGTTTTCAAGTTTAATTTGCGGTACAGTAGTGGCAAGAAAGCCGTCCATCATGCCAGCATCATCCGCAGGAGCACCCCAGCCCACCGCCATAGTCAACTGCACTGCAGAGACACCTAAAATATACCATGGTGGTTGGTGTGTTGTTGCGGTGAGAAGAGAACTGGAAGCTAGCAGAAAGCCTGAGTTAACTAGCCTCAAGCCGGTGTTGGCGACTTTCGGCCATGAAATTCTGGCCAACATGTCTCCGAATCTACCAAACTTTGAAAAGATAATTGAATCTAAGACACATGAGCATCCACCGTGTGTGTGCATGCACAGTGTGGGCATGTCAGTATGTGTGTGTGTGTGTGTGTGTGTGTGTGTGTGCTGCCAAAGATGGCTCTCTCGTCGTGCCGATTGAATATGGTCCCTAATCTCTTGGCAGACTACCGACTTTCTGCCGTCGCTTCCATGTTGTCGGTCCCGCAAGGGGACAGGTGACCGTAATGGCAGTGTTTACCAGGACCAGGTGTGTGTGTGTGTGTGTGTGTGTGCATGCATGCATTCCAGTGTGTGTGTATGTGTGTGAATGTGCGTGCATGCCGTGTGTGTGCATATGCAGTTTGTGCATGCCAATGAGTGCGTGCGCACCCGTATATTGGTGCGTGCATGTACGCATGCGTAACTGCTGACACCCAAAGTTGGCAAAGAGAAGCGAGACAGAAAGAGAGAGGGATTTAGAACAGTTTAATTCGGTGTGCAT